TAATCCAGTGCTGGGAGGCTGAAAACAGGAGGATCACTACCTGTCCAAGCTGTGTGGTGAGACCCTGTACCAAATACATAAATGAAAACTAAATAAATAAATAAATAAAATTTTACCTGCAAAAACAGGAAAGGAAGAACAGAAAGAGTAAAAAAAGTGACTGAAACAACTAAATATATGTATGAAAACTTACATAAATTTCACATGCAACTGTATTTTAAATTAGTCCATTGATTCTTCGTGCCACATAGTAGGTGAGCAGGAAAGGGAGGAACTGCAGCTTCCTCACCGGTGGCATTCAAAGGAGAAAGTCCAGAAAATGAGTTGGCAGCCTGCGCTGTACACAAAAGCACACGCCTGCTCCCTGGGAATGGAGCTGGGAGTGGAGCTGTTGCCTAAACATCTCATCCATTTCTGAGAAACCAAGAGCCACTGTACTTTCACTTTCAATCTGAGCTGTGTCCAAAACAAAAATAGCTCCAAGTTATCCTGAATTGACACCAGGAATCTTTTGCTGAAGAATGAAAGGGGAGAAGTTTCCTTCTCCTGACAACTAATTCAATTTCCAACACAGAGACAGCATTAAGTGTAATGAGCAGAAAGTTTCGGTCACTTCAGCAAAAACCAGCAGCCCAAAAGGAACCGGATGGGAACTTGTTTTAACTCGCTGCTCCTAATTTCAGGAAACCCCAAACCACTAAGCAGTCACAGTGTCAGGACCTGACAGACCGCCAGAAAAGCATACTACAGATCATGTTTGAACTGAGCCCAATGGTCTCCAAAAGCATATCCTAAGAACATACCAAAGAAAAATTTGGGCCGGCCAAATAGCTCAGCGGATTAAAGAGCCTGCACGCAGGCACAGGAGAGGGGACTTTGATCCCCGGGCCTGCAGTGCCAGCCCCACCCCCAGGGCATGATGAGATGGCTGTTGAGACTGGGCGTGGTGGGGCGAGCCTGCAATCCCAGCTCTTGGGAGGCTGTAAACAGGCAAATCACCACTAGTCTGATCTAGTAAGGAGACCCTGAAGACCCTGTAGACCCTTCCCTAAAAATACAAGAAGAAGGAGGAAGAGGAGGAGGAGGAAAAGAAGAGGAAGAATTTATTAATAACACAAACAAAAAAATCTAGCATGTCACCTGACATAGGGTGGACATCACAGACGTTTGCTACCCACTCTGGCTTCAAGGTATGCAGTGCACAGAAATGACATGTGGTGAAATTCAATAAAAACTAAAACTTATTTATTAAAGTATGGTATTTCTGTTCTATCAAGCTTGAGTCCACCTTTTGGGGAAGAGATGGGAGCCTAATGGAAAGACTGGAGCCTAACAGTTGGAGAAGTGGAAGAGACAGACTGCAAATCTTTCCAGATCAAAATTTATACTATGTTAAAAAAAAAAAAAAGCTAAACTTTAAAAAAAGCATAGTTTTTAAGCAAAATAGTTACTTCCCCAGTTTTGTTTCATTTAATCAACAAATACTTAGGGAAGCCATGTTATGTGCTAGGCTCTGTTTTTGAAGTAAGAATTTAGCATTGGAAAAGAGACAAAGTTCTTTGCATGCATGGAGATAAATTCTAGCAAGCAACATGTACATAGAACAATGTGAAATGAGAACAACTTCTGCACAGAAAAGCAAAGCAGGGAAGAAGGAGGGCAGGAGCGGGGAGCCCAGACTGTAGGAGTTTTACATAGCCATCCGCACATGGCATCCACTGAAGTTGTATTCAGCTGAGACCTAAGGGAGTAAGTTGGTGCACCACCTGGGAACCTGGAAAGAGCACAAGAGGTAGAAGAAAGGGCAAGTGCAAACTCCAGCTTACATGATAAGCAGCAATGCCAGGCTTTAGTAGATAAGCTTAGGCTCTAATTGAATTCTTTTTACTACATGCTTATCTCAGTACACTGCCTACCATGAAACCAGAGAGGTGGCAAGAGAAAGCAATCTGTCTGTGGCGTCCACTCTGTGGCAGGTGGTACACTACGTTCTTTCTTTATAAGTGTTCTTAATGAATTTTTCTTCTGTATGTGCTTACGATGTTCTATTATCTGGCCTTTGGAGATCTGGCAGTCTGTCAGGCCCTGATTCTCTGACTGCTTCATGGTTTGAGGTTTCCTAAAATGAAGAGTCAAGTCCTAAAGCAAGACACACCCTGCGTGTTTCAGAGAAGCTAGGAGGGGAAGTTTCAGGTGATGGAGGATGAATGCAGCCACCTTAGTAACCCTGATGTGAGGACATGAGTTTTCCTGATGCTAAGGAAAAGTCACCTGAATGATATGAGTCCTGGCCTCCCTTGAACTGTCTGTCACAGCCACAGACAGGATCAGAAGTGGGGTCGGAAAGCTATGTCAGGGCTTCAAATGCAGCTGATACTGTCTCCCCACTACTCCTGCGATCAAAGCCCCTTAGGTTAAAGGCAACCGCTGCTGTGTTCTATACATAGTGCCAGCTGTTTTATGAAGGCCGCATTACCCAGGAGTTTGTTGTACATGCAGTTACTTCAAGTTATCCCAGCACAGTCCAGACTCAACTTCTCCTTCCTCTAACATCCATTCTAGGTTTCCTGCACATGTCCTGGGCAAAAGCAGGCATCTCGCTGCATCCACTAAAAATGTAAATGAAACATAAACACACATTGAGCTGTAGGCCTAAACTACTCCACCAACAAGACTACCTGTCACAAAGAATAAAAAAAAAAAAAAAAGAAGAAGACAAAAAAAAGACTACGTGTCCCCACCCAGCAAAGCAGAATGTGAAGGAACTAAAGTGTTCAACAAGTTCAAATGCAGAACGGCCAGCTATTCCCTGGTGACAAAGGGCCTTGAGTACCCAGCACACAGTCACTGACCTGGCAGTGTCTGTGGTGAGTGTGTACAGCCCTCCTCTCCACCCCTCAAAGCCTCTGCCTTGTTCCTTGACAGCACTACAAAGCTGCACACCGGCGCTGTCCACAGCACGCGGTCTCCTCCTCAGCTTAGTTTGCTTTGTTGAGTAAAGAGAGACAAATGATCTTTAGGTGTAAAACATTCTGTCTAGATTTTTTATAGTAACTTCCACTCTGAATAACTGTCATTTGGTAAGTAATCATGTTATCTCCTGGAATACCTAAGTAATGGGGTGGAATTGTAAGTCTAATTCTTTACTTAACAATTCAGTTCATACATGTCATTATTTTGATTCACTTGTTTTAACTGACTTTTTTTCTGTATTAGGGAAGGGTCTGCAGGGTGTTCAGGGTCTCACTATGTAGATTAGACTTGTAGTGATTCTCCTGTGTTCAGCCTCCCAAGAACTGGGATTATAGGTGTGTACCACCATGCCAGATTTGGGGAGGGGGACACGGCATGCTGGGAATTGAACCCTGGGCAATGCATTCTGCCTAAGCAGGCACTTTAGTCCTTTGAGCTGTCAGGCCAGCCCTTACCTGACTTCTGAAATGTATTTTCAGCACTACGGGTTAAACTCAAATCTTCTGAATGAATGAGATTTCCCGTTCTTCATTAATTTTGTTTTGAACAAGTTCTTGCTACACCGCTAAATTGACCAAGATAGGGGCAAAATGGTGGCTCTCCTGCCTTAGCCTCACAGTGTGCAAGGATTTTAAGTGCACACCACCATGCCCAGATCATATGAATTTTTAAATAGTTTTCATAAGGAAAATACTCACCCACAGATACCACTTCTTGAAGTTCACAGCACATTTGAACATCAGCACCCTGAGTTCAAGGCACACAAAAAAGGCACTTTTGGAGGACACATTAACTCATATCTAACAGTATTTCCCTTCCCAGGACTCCTCTTTAAAATTCTTTTTTATTTTATTGGTACTGTTTGTCTTTTGCAGACAGATAGATGATAGAGATAGGTAGACAAGTAGGTAGACAGGCAGACAAACAAACAGACAGACAGACAGACAGATTGCATTCATCAGAGGAAGTTGTAACTTTATGTGATATGTTGCTTCTTTTTATCCATTCCTCACCCCTCCCTTAAACTTCTCTTCTCCTCATTATTTACAACAGCTTTTCCCCTATTTTTTGGTGTTTGTTTATCTGTTCCCACTTTTCTTTCTCCCCATCTCTCATTCTTTTCATTTGAACATCTTGTCCCCACTTCAGAGGCCATTATGAGATTTGGCATGTATTTACACTTTCAGGTTCTCACACCCGAGAATCCATGTGATACCTGAACATGAGTGTCCCTTTTAGTTCACTTAGGAGTGTGGTGTAAAGGAGCACCGTTTAGCTGGAACTCTCTCCAGCTTACCAGCTTACCCTCACTTCTTGTTTCCTTTGCAAATTAGAGACTATACAGTTTCTTTTAAATGACTGAATCAGGGATGATTTTATAGAAAATACAGGAAATGTTACATAATAACTAATAAGGAAAAGCAAGGCAGCACGGCACGGTGGCTCAGGGATCAGGGTCCAGGCTGCTGGCATTCAGGTGACTTACAAGGTTGTGAGTTCAGAAAACTGACTTGGCCTGTCTGTGCCCCAATTTCTATCCATCATGGGAAATGTTTGTTGTGAGATTTAAGATATGCAGTCCAGTTGCAACAATGGCCATGCCCAGACACCTGGACCATGAAGGGAGCCCTCCCACCTGCGCAGTGAGCATCAGAACCAAGGGCTGAGCACTCAGGGGCAGGACTACAGGCCCTTTCCTGCACTGTGCTTCTCAATACCCAGATCTACCGTGAGGAGAGCTTGTTACTTTTGGAGATTATACTTTAAAGGTAATATGGTGTCTCCCCACTGCTGTATGCTCAAACTTGCCCCAATCTTGGGTCATATTCCAGTATATATTACACTTAAGGGATGTTTATGAGAAGACCAAATGATTTCTAGGAATTGTGCAAACAAAATATTTGAAGAAATGGAATTATAAGCTGTACCTTGGCTACAAAACTTCTAATGGCTGTTGATCCTTTGTAAGGAACTAAGTGCTTTCAGTTTCACATTCCTCTAACTCTATCACAAAGCTTGCTGCTTTTCATTTGTCCACGCATGCAAACGCAGAAGCCAGTCAGTGTCGCAGGGTGACATAAAAGCCCAAGCATACAGCCAGAGGCAGAGAAGAGAAAAGCCAAATCACCCACACTGAGCAGAACAGGTAAGTCTGCCTTCCCTCTAGCAGCCTCTCCAGCTCTGAAGGAGCTCTGCTCCAGGCTCACAGCTTCTAAGTCTGATGCAGGGACACAAGGGAACTTCTGAGGGCTGGTTATTTTTCATAAAAACTATCAGAACTGTGAAAAGTTGGAGCTGAGCCTTGCATGGGACCGAGGTCAAATAAAATCCAGATTTGATCACAGCATCAGGTCCCCTGGTGAGAGCACTGGGCTTGTGTTGAGTGCACTCCCCCAGGAAGAAGTGAACTGTTAGCTTTGTGTGGACTGGGAGCACAAGCTACTGCAGTCCTGATGGGCTCACTCACAACTGCTCCTGGTGCACTATAGGGCTAACAAGGCAGCCAGCCATAGAGCTGTTGTTTTGCAGGAAGAAAACACAGAAATGAGACACAGTTGATCAGCCATTGCTACTGTTAAAGACAAAGAGAGAGAAATCCTCAGCATGAGAGAGGGAGATCACAAAAGCAGCCTCCTTTCTACTCAGGCACCCAGACTGCGTTTCCCGCGGGCTGTCTTCCTTCAGCACTGGTGCAAATGCAGTGACTCCTCAAGGCCTACTCGCTCCTTCACCACCAGAGCTCAGCCACTGAGCTTCACTGTAGGGCTTCCTCTACAAGAGTCTCGCAGGGCAGCCCTCTGCTTCCTACAGAAGCCCCTGACCTCAGCCTAGCTTCCTGCCTTCAGGGAGCTCTTGTCCCGACTTCCTTGGCAGGTGCTGGCCTCCCTTCTCAGCTCCTGTCTGTGGCCACCTCTCCCTGCTGGCTCCTCACCCCTGCTTCTTCCACTCCTTTTCTTCCTCCCTTCATATTTCTCCTTCCTCTGCTCTAACAAAGAAAAACAAGCAAAAACAAAGAAAGGTAGAAGATCTAAAAACACTTTGTAAATCATATCTTAGGACAATTCCTTGTCTAGTCCTCTTCATGTGTTTCCTGTTTTCATAATTATTATTCTGTAGAAAATTTGAATAAAATCCAGTACTTACACTTCCCTGAGTGTATGCTCACTCACTGTGGAGATCAGAAAGCCCAGGGTAGGGCACCACCCCTGCCTGTGCCCCTCCAAATCCCTGCAAGGCCCCTACTTCTGGGCACCCAAACCCGTGGTCTGCTATTTACATGCAATTTGTAGAAGCAGCATGCTGCTTGCCCTTCTGAGAAATGCTGTGCGTCCCATTCCAGTGAAATGAGCACAGCCCCTAAGGGTGGAAGGAGGATCACATTTTAAAATCCGTGATCATTGTCCAAAAGGCATACAGCAAGCCATGAACAATGTAGTCAAGAGGGACTTTATTCATTATAAGAACTAATGAACTGAAAATATTTAATTCATTACATGCACACAAAATGGAAGAAAATTCTTTAAATATTATTGTGCATTCCTCTGTATTTTTATTCTCTCTGTATTTTTGTTTTTAATCTGAATCCAAAAAGAATCTTTCTGCAATGAATTAAATGGAAGTTTTGGGTTGTGAAAGCAGGTAAATGTTGATGCAAAATAATTGTTATGACTATTTTAGAATACAACTGTTTTAATGGCTGGCAGGATAGCTGAGCAGACTAAGTGCCTGCTTAGGCAAGTGTGTGGACCACCCACCCCCAGGCTCACTGAGCAGGCCACCAAGTTCAGGCATGGTGACACACTCCTCTAATCTCAGCTGCAAACGTTTAGGAAGAGCACCACAAGCCAGAGCTGCACATTGAGACCCTGTTCCAAATATATATATATATATATATATATATATATATATATATATATATATATACACACACACACATACCCATATACAGAACTGCTGCTTGGATACTATTTCCATAACTTCCTCAGCTGATGTGAGTTTTCCTTCACGCATCTTGTTGACACACACAGTACTTGGTGGTTCATGCTGGGGAATTTCATGAATCCAGTTTCTCAGCACTAACGCTACAGGTTCCACCTCTCTCCACCCCTGCCCTTGCAGACCAGAGGATTACCCACAGGACATGGCCTCTGAGACCTACATGCCAGGCCCTGTGTGCCTCATTGAGAACGTGAGAGGACAGCTGATGGTGAACCAGGAAGCTCTGGGGATCCTGTCGGCCATCTCCCAGCCCGTCGTGGTCGTGGCTATTGTGGGCATGTACCGCACAGGCAAATCCTACCTGATGAACAAGCTGGCTGGGAAGAAAAAGGGTGAGTGCTGCCAGCAGGGCTCTGCGGAGTCCTGACCACCCCCACTGCCCGCATCCTGCATGGGGGTGGGGAGGGGAGAAGGGCCTGGGAGGGATACTGTGCCCTAATCTGCCACTTTGAGGAGGACATTTGATCTAAGGCATGACAGTAAGCTCACAGGCTCACCTTACTATGCCTTAGCTTCCGCTTGGAAAGTACAAATCAGTCCTTTCCTAAACAATCCTTTGTTTATTATTATTGTTATTGTTGTTGTTTATTGAGAAAGTTTAAAAACTGATTAGTAGGACAGTTTCAATAATTAATACATTTCATATTGTTGTCCTCATAGCTGTTATTCATAGTACAAGATGCAGACATGATATCCTGTCCAAACACTATTACTACAAATCTTTCTTCTCACTGAATTAAGAGAAAGTAGCTGTGTACTATCTTAACTATTTTGTATATACAGATACAAAATGGTCCTTCATTTGTTTACCTTTTTTTGTATAGTTTTGTCAGAGGGCAGTATTCCATTGCCATTTAAAAATTGTAGGCGCATGTATTCAGCAAAATAATACAATATAGTCCAGTAGTCCATAATAGTAGTGGGTTATCCATAGAACTGGCAATGTCAAACATTGTTGACTTGAGCCTTTTACAGCTCAGCATATTAATATGGCTTTACTTTTTATACCTCATTTTTATACTTTTCTGTTGGATGGTTAAGACCAAGATAAAGCAAGACCTATATAACAAGAAATGTAACTTTTTATCGGCCAAGGTCAGTCAAATCCCCTCAGGATTTACCCCAAAACCCTGTACCACAGTTTGTAGATTCTTTGTCACTGTTAGCCATGTGAATGAGTCACAGCCATTGTTTGACCAATTTTCCCTCTGTGAAAGCCTGAGAGAATGATTTCTCTCCATGTGATTCTCCTTAGGCACACTCTACATCATCAATCACATTCCTCTTTTTTGTGGTCCCATAATCTCCTTGATCAATAAATTTGGGACACAACTGAGTTACAGGATGTTACAGTACAGGTTCCCCGAAGTCCTGAGTCCTCACTGACCTTGAAAGGCTAGGGTCAAACTGTTGGCTGTCCTCACAGCACTTTTTTTTCTCTAATTTTTGTTCTGCAAACATAAGTTGTTAACCCTCCAGAAGAGAAGCTTAATGATATTATTACCCTAAAACAGACAGTTGAGCTTAACCCATTTGTCTAGATATCAAACATTTAAGACATAACATTGAATAGGTATTTTCCATCAAGTATTGATATGTTAAACTTTAAATCCTTACAGAATGTGAAAAAAATGAAAAAATAACAAAATATTTTTTAAAATAGGAATAAACAATTATCTATTTTTACACAGAAATTTAGAACTCTAACCAAATATAGCATTGTAGTCGAACATTTTTATGACATTTTTTTCTTATCTCTTGTTTTCATTTATTATCCTTTTTTTTAAACAAACATTTATTTGAGAGGCAGTATAGCAGTAATTGGTATGACATGACAAGCAGTACGTATTTAGAAGACCAGAATGGGCGAGGGAGTTGGCTCAATGGAATAAGCGCTTCCCTGGCAAGCGCAAGGACCTGAGTTCAATTCCCAGTGCCGCATAAAATAAAATAAAATAAAATAAAATAAAATAAAATAAAATAAAATAAAATGCCAGAGTGGCAGGCATTACAACAAGCATGACCTAGTATTACACATTACTAATTTCAGTGAAGTTGCTTAGTCACAGGTATCAGCGTATATAGTTGGTCAGGGTGAGAATCCTACCAATTAACTACTAGTTTCAAAAACCTGCTGAAGATTCTCAGGATCATTGCCTTAACCATCTTGTGCATATTAATGTAAGGCAGAATACCCCTATCATGATTTCTAGCTTTTCTCCTTGCCTTCTCTTTGTTGTCTAATCCTTAAATTCTCACTTTCCTTTTAGTTGATTTATACCTTTCTATTTTTATTTCTTCTTTTGTAAACTCCCAGATTCTTATGAAGATGTCCATATAGTAAGAGCTAGTTCCCACTATCTTTTGAGGATATAAAAGTTTCATTCATATTACATTTTTTATGTTGTCTGATATTTACATAATATACATTTTGCATCATTCCTATATGATCTGTTTCTGGCACTAAGTGAAATCACACATTTGCACAATCACCACTTCCCACCCTTTCCAGATCTCTCTCCTCCTCCCCGAGAGGATCTTTGCCTCCTTGAACAGCTCCCTGTGCACCAGCCCCACCTCCATCTAGGCTCTGGCTAGGAACTTGACTGTTCTCCACACACCATGCATGTGGAATCAGAAAGATGTGTGCTTCTGTGACTGTGGTTTTTACATTTAGTGTGATGTCTTTGCATTTCCCCAGTGTCACATTTGTCAAAATTTTCTTTCTTGTAATGCTCCATGATGTATGAATACTGCACATAAATTTCTTCATCCACTCATTTAAATGGGCGGGGGCTTTGTTTCACAACTATGCTGCTAGGAACAATATTGATGGGGGCATGGATATGAAGATGCTGATTCAAGTCCACCCTCGAAATGTCTCTGAGTGTACCACCACAGTTCATGGTGCTGGATCACATAGTAATTAATTTAATTTCTTGAGTAATCACTATCCACTTTTCATTTAATTTATGTGTGTGTGTGGACTAGGGATTGAACTCAGGCCCTTGAGCTTGCCAGGCAAACGCTTATTCTACTGAGCTATCTCCCATGCCCTCATTTTTCAGCTTGCTTGAACCATTTTATGCTCCCATCCAAAGTACATTAATGTACTAATTGTCCATACTCTGCAATTATTTGGGGTTTTTTTTCTCTTTGGTTTTGTTCATTTCCTTGTTGTCATAGTGGATGGGTGTGAAATAGTCTCTTGTGGTTTCCACTTAGAGTTCCCTGAATAACTAATAATGTTAAGCATCCTTCCCTGTGCTGCATGGCCATTTGAATATCATCTTTATACAAATGCCTACTTAAATTTTTTTTCCATTTTTTAAATCTGGCTATTTGTGCATCATTGTAGGAACTTGATATATTGCAGATATCAACCCTTCATCAGGTACATGTCTGCCGAATAGTCTCTCCAGTTCCATAGTTCTGCGTGTTGCATTTTTACTCTGTGAAGGTCATTTATTATTATTGTGAAGGTAAAATTTGAGGGAGAAATTTTTCAATGTTGAAGAACTCTAAGAAACTCTGCATTTTTTATTTGTTGTCTATACTTTTACTTTTCTTTCCAATTTCAGTACCTTATAATTCCTTCTCTAGTCAAATTATGTTGGATACGACTTTCATATCACCATTGAGTACAAGCAGACCAGACCCCTTTTTCTTGCTTCTGATCCTAGAGGAAAAGATTTCAGTTTTTGCCACGGGCTTTGATGTTGCCTATGAAGTTTCTTGGGTGGTCATTATTCGGTAGAAGTGGTTTGCTTCTATTCCAAGTTTCTTAAGTGTTTTGTAGTACTGGGTATAGAACCCTGCCAGGAGGAAGCTACATTCCTACGTCAACATCCTTTTTGTTGTTGTTCTTGCTGGATACTGAAGATTGAACCTAGAATCTCAAGCATGCCTGAAAAGATCTTTATTTGAGCTACTAATCCAACCCTTTGTGAAATTTTAATTTGAGACCAACTTCCAATAGGTTTATGAGGATAAGCTTAAGGTGTTAATTTTCCTGCCTCAGCCTCCTCTGCAATTAGGATTAAAGAATGGTACCAGCGTACTGACACGGTGCATAGTTTTCTTATCATGAGACTGCTCAATATTTTTCTTTCATCAGATAACAATCCACACTGTTTTGCCTCATGGTAAGTAAGGTCAGTGCTGCCTGAGGTTTTTGTTCTCATCTCCTCTGTGCTCCGCAGGCTTCTCTCTGGGTGCCACAGTGCAGTCTCACACCAAAGGAATCTGGATGTGGTGCGTGCCTCACCCCAAGGACTCAAAGCGTGCCCTAGTCCTGCTGGACACCGAGGGCCTGGGAGATGTTGAGAAAGTAAGGATGGATGGTTCCAGTTTGGATGAGTTCCTCATCTGGGAATATTTGCTACAATAAGCACTGTTTTCTTGTTTTAATTTATTTATTTATCTTTTTTTGTATTTTTAGTGAGGAGTCTACAGGGTACTCAGGGGCTAACTACTAGATTGGACTCATAGTGATTCGCATGTTTACAGCCTCCCAAGAGCTGGAATTACAGGCGCACATCACCATGTCCAGTCTCAATCAAAATCTCAGTGCGCCCTGGGGGCAGGGCCGGCATGGCAGGCCCAGGGATGTAACCCCGGGCTTTAATGCACTGAGCTATTTGGCGAGCCCCTCTTGTTCTTACAAACATAATATGTTTTCATTTTTTCCTTATATTGTAGAGACTCAGTGTAGGAGACAGAAATCAGAAAAAATATTCATAAGACAATCCTAGCAGAAAAGCAACATGATTAATATGAGGTTCTCAGTATTAACCACAATCTATAAACAATGCAAATGATCCTGGATGGAAAAAGAAAGCACACATATACTCAGTGTCAAGAGTCTTATCCTACTGCAGACTTTAAAGAGTTGGGTGTTGAAGCCTCGTCATTGTGTTTCATTTAGAAATCTAGTTCTAGCTTGGTACACCTAGCAAAGGATTTGTCTTCCTTTAGCTTCAGCTTTCTGATATGTCCTATACATGTAACTTTTTACATATACCTCCTAGTATTGTTTTAAACACCTAATAAGATAAAATTATAGTGTGTAATAATTGGTATAAAAGAACTACAAGGGAGGCCAGGGAGATGGCTCAGTGGAATAAGTGCTTCCCTGGCAAGCGCAAGGGTCTGAGTTCAATCCCTGGTTCTGAAAAAAAAAAAAAAAAAAAAAAACAGCTAATAAAAGAACTACAACTACTATAGACACACACTTATTTATTTGTTCATTCATTTATTTAAGCAGTCCCAGGGATAGGAAAGTTGGGCACATTAACACTGGCTTGTGTCCCTAGCCCTTATTTATTTCTTGTCTTGAGAACGGGTCTCACTAAATTTCATAGGCTGTCATTGAACTTACTCTCCTGTCTCAGCCTTGCATGTAGGTAGCGCTGGCATGCATGCACCACTCAATCAGGGTGTACAGCTCCTACAGGTAAATTTTGCTACCAATAGTGAAATTTTTTTTAAATTTAGACTTCTGTGAGGCCTAAGAACCTAGCTGTGCTTGCACTCTGCCTGGCTCCAGGAACCTACACGGTGGGGCAGTGAAGGAAGCAGTCCCCCCTGGCTCCTGCAGCTCTCGGGCATCAGTTACTGGTCCTGCCCAGAACACTACAGTTCTACTCTGCAAAGGTATATAGAAACAGCTTTGTGTGTCCATGTAACACCAGAAAATTGGAACTGAGCATCCAGAGGAAACCTTCCCCAACACTAGACCAGTCGTGGATTTGCAGACATCCTACAAAGAAATGGAAGAGGGCCAGACATTTAAAACAAGGAAAAATACCAAAGAGATGGGTGAGCTGCAAATTTTGTTTCAAAGCGATAATGCTGGAGCAGTGCTTAGAAAGGGAGGAAGAAGGGCTGGCCAAATAGCTCAGGGGATTAAACAGCCTGCAAGCAGGTGTAGGGGATGGGGTTTTGATCCCTGGGCCCGCCATACCAGCCTGGCCCCTGGGGCGTACTAAGAGAGCAATTGAGACTGAGTGTGGTGGTGTGTACCTATAATCCCACCTCTTGGGAACCTGTAAACAGGTGATCACTATGAATCTGATCTAGTAGTGAGACCCTGAACATCCTGTAGACCCTTCCCTAAAATACAACAACAAAAACTGAAAGGGAGGCAGGGATATTAAGGCACTCAATATGGACACAATGTGAGTGTTTCAGTCCCAGGCAGCAATAGCCTGAGTGTGCATTATCAGTGCAGGTACGGAAACAATTGGAGAAATTCTGAAGAAAATATCCCTACCTCGGAAGTTGGACTGCAGCTGCCATCACCTGCTGCAGCTAACCAGCTTCCACTCCAATCTGATGCCATGAAATGATTAATAACCAACCTATTAATGAAATGACTTTTACTGCTAGTGGAGATGTTACTTCATCAAAGTCTGGCAGGAAAAATTATTGTGGTAAAAGACATTAAAATTAAAAAAGTTGGAGAGAACACTCAGGCAACAATCACATCTTCTAAAAATGTTGTTCTCATTCTACTGACAGAGTTGTTCATATTGGATAAAGCCTGATAGCTTTTTAGAGTTCAGAAAAATCATCCTTGAACTAAAACCTGGGTCTACCATCAAAAGACGTGTGCAATCTTATGAACCAAATTTTTAAAATGAAACTTATGATTATGGTCTTTTTACCATGATATCTGCTAACTGCTCTGGACAGTCAGTTGGGTGAGAGGTGGTTGTGACAGAGTATCTCCTGGCCAGGATGGGCATTCGATGTTTCTCTCTAGAAAAGATTACGATGACCTAAGCTCTGACTGGGGATCACCGCCCATCCTCCTGGCCAGTGTGCCAGGGTACTAGTACAATTCAGAATCTTACTGCTCCACCAGCACCACCTAGAGGTAGAGATTGAATGGCCTATGATAGAAAAGACAACCTGGAGCCCATTATGATGGCATGGTTTGTTGCAGTGCTGATGAAACTTGAGATTCTGCAATAGGTGCAAGGAGCCATCAGAGTGGCTGATGACATAGGAGCCAGAGTGGCTCTGGGTATGACTATTCTTCTGCAGGAGTCGAGTCTCATATGGCAATCTAGGTGGATCTATTAGTACTACACAAGTAAATATTCCCATATATTAGGATGTATCTAATATTGGAAAAGAAGGTAGCAGATGATGCAAATCAATCATAAATCATGAAGTTTTATGAAAACTGATGAGCCTTTAGGAGGATCCAAAGATCAGATCATTACTATTACAGAAACACAGGACCAGATATAGAATGCACAGTATTGGCTATAGGACAGTGTGCAGCAGTCTGTAGGTGTTGAAGGATTCTAATGTAAGAAAATTTTTCTTTGTTATACTATAAGGCAATTTTCTGGAAATTTTTTCTAAGACAGTGAAGACCTTGAAAGTGTCCTCCATCTTTTTTCATTTTAATCTGCTTCTGTTTAAAAAGCCAGCCTTCCTCTGCTTCATATGTGTTCTGCATTTCAGATACAGTCAAATATTTTATGTTCACCATATGTAATGTTTGAGTTCCTCACAAACACGGGTGGGGAGACACAGAAAAACTAACATGGAAATTTTAAAACAGGCACAGAGTAGATTTTATTGTGCATTCATTGTTCATGGTTTAAAAATATTCCCACCATGTACTTACTATAAGGATATTATGTTGTGTTGTCACTGCAAACAATTGAGGGCGGAACAGGGAAGAAAGTGACAGTAGTCCACATGTCCCTGACATCTGTGCAGAGCAATGTGCAGAAGCATTTTATGATTTTTTATAATAAATTTAGTGAACACTAAAAAATCCTATGAACATTCACAGTTTTTCAGTTATCTGGCAATAATCCTTAAAAGGACCTGGAGACTAAAAATATGAATCAAAATTTAATCAAAAACTATTCAAAATTCAATCTTATAGACATTTCAGTTCAAGTTAGGCTTCTATGTAATTACTCTAACAAAACTAACTATATAATGATGCTGCTGCCACTGCTGATGTGCAGCTTGATATAAGGCTACAACATTCCTGAGGCCAATTTTGTTCTGCTTTCCAGGGTGACAATCAGAATGACTCCTGGATCTTCGCCCTGGCGATTCTGCTGAGCAGCACCTTTGTGTATAACAGCATGGGAACCATCAACCAGCAGGCCATGGACCAACTGCAGTATCCTTTGTGTGGTCCAGGAGGAGAGACCTGTGGGAGTAAACCAGCCCCACAGCTCTAGAGCCTGGTGCAGCCAACACAGTAAGAGAAGACAGAAGCAGGAAATCAAGTCAGGAAACACTCACATACCTACTAAAGAAATGACACTTAGGCTAAGGACAAAGGTAAAATAAAAGTTTGTGGATTTGTCAAACTAACATGGGATGAAAGGTCCCATTATTTTTGCCAGTTTTCCTTAGCACCTCAGCTATGTGACTGAACTGACAGATCGAATCAGAGCAAAATCCTCACCCAACAGTAATGAAGTACAAGACTCAGCTGACTTTGTGAGCTTCTTCCCAGACTTTGTGTGGACTCTGAGAGATTTCTCCCTGGAATTAGAAATAGATGGAGAGTCCAGCTCTCCAGATGCCTACCTGGAGAATTCCCTGAAGCTACACCAAGGTAATATGGATGGATAATTGGTGAAAGGGAACATCAAAATACTAGAAATTTTTAATTAATTTTTTTAACTATAGATTGTGGGTATTTTGTTTTGTTATGTTTTTGTTTTTACATTTTGAGCTTTCTATCCTATATAAATACATGTGGAAAATAATGGTTGATATCAGAATTAATACACTGAGTCTTAAAATAGTTTTCTCCCTTGCTGAGAGAAAAGTTTCTGTTTGTCACATTTGCTATGCTTAGTTTAAATTCATCTTGGTGTTTGTCATTTGTGCTTCTGCATTTATCCAAAGGATGCTGAGTGTAATTAATGTATACTTGAAAATAGATTAAAGCAGGGTAGTAACCCTAGCATAGTAGCCCAAGTTTTGGAAAAGTACGGGCAACAGACAAATGCTACTTACTGAGGCTCTGCTTCCTGTCTTGAAATAGACGCTGTTAGGAAATGATGAGCCCATTCATTTACATACTGTCTAAAGATGCTGCCAGGCTAAAGTCAATGAGTTGAGTGCAGAGGAAAGAGGCTAAAAATATGGACTATTAGAACATTTTCAAAAAATGCTTACCAATTCCAACAGTTGGAATACCCCTTTTTATCTTCGTGCAGGTACTGATGAGAAAGTTAAAAATTATAATCTCCCCCGACTCTGCATCCGCAAATTCTTCCCAAAGAAGAAATGCTTTATCTTCGATAGACCCGCTCATCGAAAGAAGCTGGCCCAGCTGGAGACACTGCATGATGATGAGCTGGACCCGGAATTCGTGGAACAAGTTGCAGAATTCTGCTCTTACATCTTCAGCACTTCCAGGACTAAAACTCTGCCGGGAGGCATCCAGGTCAATGGACCGCGTGAGTACCCTCCCTTAGCTTCACTCATTCATAAACCTAAGGAACAAGAAAAAAAGAATCTACTTTCTGGTTTCAGGTTTGTATATGTACTGTTCTCCCAAAGAAGTTTAAATGGTCTCAACTTTTCTAATACAGTTTATTAATCACCTTAATTCAGGGGAAAAGAGAGGAAAGGCCTACAGGAAAAAAGTATATTGCTTTGAAATTCAATAACCAAACTGGACTAGCAGTCTGTAATACAATAGCAACTAGAAAATATGATTATATATATTTAAAGGTAAATTAAATGAAAAAATTAAAACATTTCATGGCTATATTCCAAGCACACATATCCTCTTTTGCCTAATGACTATTGTATTCTTTTGAATAATGCTGTTAGTTTCAATAACCAAGTGGCAACAGCTTTTGATTGGGATAGCATTTCTTGTTCTATAAATAGTGACCAAATGCTTACTGTTATCAAAAATGATAATAGAGATATTAATAAAAGAAATAGAGCTCCAGTCCTAATAGTCCACAGACTTAAACCGGATGGAAAATTCTAATAAACAGTCCTATGTAGTATATATCCAGGAATCTTAGTCCTTAGTGTCCATACATGTCACAGGGGTCTCCTCATGAGAAAGGTCAAATTCAGTAGGTCTGAGAAAAGGCAAAGGTTTTGTATTTCTAATGAATTACCAAGTACACTGTTAAGTATGCCAATGAAATTTTGAGGGAAATAGAGGTAAACTGCTAAGCTCAGAATCACACACAATGGAGACTGTTTTCCACTCAACCTGTAACAGGCACCAATACCTCTTTACTTTCAGGTTTAGAGACCCTGGTGCAGACTTACATCACTGCCATCACCAGTGGGGATCTGCCCTGTATGGAGAATGCAGTCCTGGCCCTGGCTCAGATAGAGAACACAGCTGCGGTGCAGAAGGCCTTGGCACACTATGAGCAGCAGATGGGGCAGAAGGTGCAGCTGCCCACAGACACCCTGCAGGAGCTGCTGGACCTGCACGGGGCCTGTGAGAGGGAGGCCATAGAGATCTTCATGAAACATTCCTTCAAAGATGTTGAGCACGTGTTTCAAAAGATATTGGGGGTGGGTAATGTTTTATCTCAAGATAATATTGATTAGAATTAGAGAAGGCAAAGTACTACAAGAAACTGAAATAAGCATTCATTTTGAGCAAGAAAATTATCCTAGATTTCAAAATGATATTAGCTACCACTCAGTAATCATAATAGTAAAAAAATTGATGATTATGGACTGAAAATTTCAAAATATATTTCTCTCCTTGATTAGCTATAACAAAATCCATATCATTGCTGATAATATAATTACTAAACAGAACTTCTAATCAATTATGTGCTGTTATCCTGTTTGATAGTAAAGAAAATATCATTCTAAGTTATCTAATAAAGGCCTATTTTGAGGTCCATTTATTCCATGCAATCTTTCCTCTAATCTGAAATATTCAAAGTTCACTTCTAAAGTATGACATAATGCTCACAATCTTTATTCAGAAATTAAACTTTAGTAAATTTCAAGGTCACAAAGAAGCTTTATTTAAAAGTTTGGGTCATATTCTTTTTGATAAGTGTCATCAGGAACTCTGACTACAAAATGTTTTTTCTCTCTGGCTATTCATTTTCTTTCTTATTTTTGCATTAAAGGCCCAGCTAGAAAAGAAGCGCGATAACTTCTGTGAACGGAATAAGAAAGCATCTTCAGATCTTTGCTCAGCTTTACTGCAGGAAATTTTCAGTCCCCTAGAAGAAGAAGTGAAGCAAGGAATTTACTCGAAACCAGGGGGCTACCGGCTCCTTCTTCAGAAGGTGCAAGACCTGAAGAAAAAGTACCATGAGGAACCCAAGAAGGGGATACAGGTGAGCCACTCACCTGTGCGGTTGTGCCAGTGTCCACGTCAGTGCGACCAACTGTGATGGCTCAGTGATGTGCCCTACACAGTTTGATTTTCACTACTGCATTCACACTGTCAGTCGACGACACCCAGGAGAAGACTATTGTTCTAGTTCTGTCCTAGGTACTCTTCAGAGAGAGCACATTCAATTAAGAATGGAGCTCCAGGGAGACAGCTCAGTAGAATATGTGCTTGGTACTGAGGATTGAACCCAGGGTTCCGAGTTCAATCCCCAGTGTTGAAAAGAAAAAAAAAAAAAAAAGGAGTTGTCTTCCTTTTCACTGTCTGTTACCTTCCAGACCCACATTTCCTTCAATTTTTAATTCCTTCCTCTGATCTGCTGTCTCCATGAAACTTTCATTCTTTAGCATGCTCAGCCTGTAGAGACCACAGCACTGTGAGTTTTAAACATAGCACCTTCAGACTAAAATGGCACAAGTCTTTGCCCACAGACTTGCTATAAAGGACATTGACTCTTAGGGCACAGGGTGGGGTTTTACTGGCCTGCCTAGAGCACAAGGCCATCATCGTGAACAGAGAATCTTGGCCACCCGAATCCCCAGGACTAGGAGTAACGGTTCCTAGAGGGAAATACGCTAGGCAAAACACAGACATGAATGCTTATAGGCATGTACTACTGATAACCCTGTGTTCTTTGGTTTGAAAGGCTAACGAGGTTCTGCAAAAATACATGGATTCCAAGGAGGACATGACTAATGCCATTCTACAGACAGACCAGACTCTCACAGAGAAAGAAAAGGAGATTGAAGGTGAGGAGTGAGTCAAGAGGCTACTTGACCTCATAAGCTGTAAAGTTTAAATAATTTAAGTAAATCTGCTATTTTTAAACTGGACCAAGACCAAAGGTGTATTTCATTTTCCAAGGTGGTCAGAAGGTACAATATATAAACATATGTAGGAGCAGGTGAGGCCACCTAGTAATGCACGGATCTTTCTCTCATTCCTTTCAGTGCAACGTGTAAAAGCTGAATCTGCAGAGGCTGCCACGAAAATGCTGGAGGAAATGCAAAGGAAGACTCAGGAGATGCTGGAGCAGAAAGAGAAGAGTTATCAGGAGCATGTCAGGCAGCTGACCACGAAGATGGAGCAGGACAGGGCACAGATGCTTAAAGAGCACCAAGAGACTCTGGCCCTCAAACTCCAGGTACTCAGCTGCACCACCCGCAACTTTCTGCTTTTCATTTTCTCTCCATTCCCCCTGATCACAAACATGGGCAAGGAGACTATGAATCCCCACAAAGGACCTTGTGCCTGTTGACTCCTGTGCACTTGCCTCACCTGTCTGCTGTCCCTGTCCAATCCTTGTCTTCCCTTGCAATGCTGTCCCATCAGTGAGCATGTCCTTCCTTCACAGAAGCTTTGTCTCATAGGCATCATGAAAATATTTTATCTGCTTTATCTCTTGAATATGAATATGGAAAATGGACCTGTTCCCTCTTAAAAGAAACATCAGTTCAAAAAAACCTTCTTTAGATCATCCAGTTAATGAAGTATCTCTCTTTATAACACGATCTTTTCTTCTGTCCAGTCTGTTATGAGGTTAACACTACAGGGATCGTCATGAGCAAAATCTCTTCAAACTTCACACCACTCTGGCCTGTTTTCTCTACTTGGTCCCAATTTCTGTTCCCTTGGGAATTCTGTACAGAAATCCCCTAGAATTCTGACTGGCTTGCTTATCACCTGTCAGTCCTGTGCAAGACTCTGGGGGCTCCGCTCAAATGTCCTAAACTGAGATCAAGACATTTCGTCTGAACTTTAGAGTATTTCATTTCTGTGTTATGTAAACATGTTATTGGGGACCTGGCCAGAGTTTTGAGTCTGACCCCATCTATCTGGATTCATTTTGCCATTTACTACTGAAAGCATAGGAACACCAATAAAACTGGAATAATGAGTTTATTTACAAGTTGACTAAGGCAGGACAGCTGGTGTGCATTTGTCCCATATACAGAAGTGCATTAATTTACAACAAGGGTAGAACAAAGGCCAAAATGAAGTTAGATTCCACTACTTAATTGGTTGATAATGGGCCCAGAAAAAATGGTGGATAGCAGGTTCTGCCAAAGCCTTCTTGGTGCCAGAACTGGAAAAGTGGGACCTAGAGAAATAGCTTGGTATTAGGAAAAAAATGATAGGACTAAAAATAGTTACATATCTTAATTCAAATCTAATTTACAAGAAGCATTTGTTTTCCTCCTAAAATTTCCTTGTAAAGTTTGAAACTAATTTTTGTCAAAATTCTGTATTTTATGAACTTGTCACTTACAGCCTGATAAACTTAACTGTGACCTTTAAGTAAAAAGTTAGCTATGAATTATGTTTGTAAATGATTTTGTTAATTAAATATGGCTGGTTCCCTTCCCCCATTATGAGGGATTGAATGCTGGTACTTCTCATTGCACTGTATCTCCAGTTGTTTAAAAAAAAATTTTTTTTTTGAGATAGCAACTCACCAAGTCACTATCTCACTACTGTGCCCAAACTAGGCTTAGATTTCCAATGTTTTGTAGTGGTCAGAGTCCTGCAATTACAGGTTTGCTCAGCTGCACATAGATTTTTAAAAGGTTTGTGCATTTCTTTCAAGACAGACAAAGTACTTTGAATCAGAAAAATTTAATAAATTAAATTTCATCATAAGAAATTAATTTTGCTCTGCAAAAAAAATACCAATAAAGCTATAAATAAGATGTACCAAAAGCTGAAACAAAATATTTTCTTTTTTGTTGTTGTCATTTATTTGTTTGTTTTTGCGGAGCCAGAGATAGAACTCAGGTTCTTGCATTGCCAGAGAAGAGCATTTTCCACTGACCGTCTCCCCAGCTGAAAGAAAATATTTTCAAGTCACATTATCTAACATAGGACTTATATACAGGAAATGTAAAGACTGCTGATTCATAGTAAGAAAACAAACAAATAAAATCCCAATTGAGAAATGGATTAAAGGATTGAGAAGTCATTTACCAAAGGAAATACTTGGTGTCAGATAAGTACACCACTGATCATTAGTAAAATGCAACATAAAATACTGCTAGGAAACAGGCACCCTTATTCTACTAGAATAAGGGTGCACTAGTTAAAATTATTTCCCCTACAACTAGAGGATCCCCACCCTCACTCTGCATTCTTTGTTCCAAAGACAACTGTTTAGGGAAATCTCCAAGGACCCCTTTGATAATGTCATTATACTTTTCCAAAGAGCATCGTCAATCCTCGGCCCTTTGCATGCTGCCCACCACCTTAGTGTATGACCTTTCAAATCCCTATTTACCTAATTTGTACTTGTAGTGCCACTGTCTGCTTGCTGGGAAGTGAACCGTATGAGGATAAGAGTGTTATCTATCTGTTGGTGACTGCCATGCAGTGAACATCCAGTACATCTTGGTCTCGTATTCTGCCCGTCCCCTGTGAACCTTTTGCCCCATGGATCAGCCTAAATGCCCCATCACTGTTTGCTGACCTCATTTCTTCTCCTACCCTGCATAGCATAGCCATCTTTACACAGGAAATTTTATTCTTTGCTTACACTCCATTTTTAGATTTTAAACAATTCCTTAAAATAGTTGTTCTTGTTTTCCCTTCTTTACATTACTCCCTGATGCTGCTTACCCTAGGATTCCTTTCTAGCCTGCCCATCATCTTATCCACATGTCTCCTCTGAATCAGAGCTTTGTCAACTGTAAGCAGAAAATTTGAGCAACCAGAGAATCCCTGGCTTCCTATCTGGGTGTAACTGCATTTGGGTGAATCTCCTTGACTCTATCCAGTGCTTAGGTTATTTCTTGGGGATCTTTCTACTTTTTCTAAAATAGGTACAAGGGCCAGGGAGATAACCCAGTAGAGTAAGCGCTTGCCTGGCAAGCACGAGGTCTTGAGTTCAATCCCTGGTTCTGGGGAAAAAAAAAATGAATCTGTGTAAAATAGGTACCTATATTTATGAACTTTCTTACAACTGTTTTCATTGTCTCCATGGGTTTTGCTATGTTAGATTTACATTATCATTTGAATAGGACTTTTAAATTTCTTCCCTGACTTTTTCTGTGGCCCAGTGAATACTTAAATGTATATTCCATCTTCATGTGCTTGGATAATTTCTAATTTCTTTTGCTGTTTCTAGTTCTATTTCACTGTTATCTGATATGATACAGACATTTATTATAATTCTTTTTGCAAAAACATGCTTTCATACCTAAATGATGGTATATGTATAGATTGGATGAGTTCAGTGTGGTGCAGAGAAGAATGTGTACTCTGCTCTCATTGGATAAGATACTGTGTTGCAATCAGTAAATCCATTTTTTCTATGAGGTAGATAAACTGATTGTTCTTTATTATTTTTTTGTGTGGTTTACATCTCTTTTTATGTGGGTGGGGTATTAAAATCCCCCACAGTCTTTGTATTAGTATCTTTCTGCCCCTCTGATCAAGTAGTCTTTGCTTTACTGAAGTAGATGCACCTATATTCAGTGTATACATATTTACAATTGTTAAATCTACCTGGTGAATTGTTCCACTTACCTTTGTCTAGTGACCTTTTATCTTCTAACTAGCTTTTGTCAGAAGTTACTTATATTCCACTTGTCTTTTTAGGAACAAGAGAAGCTGCTAAAAGAAGGATTCCAAAAGGAGAGCAAAAAACTTCAAAAGGAGATAAATGACACGAAAGACAAAATCAAAAAAGCCAAAAGTGGTGGATGTGTCATACTCTAAAGGCCAAAGGAAACCAGCTGTCCTGCCATCCTTACCTATTCAGGGCATAAATAACAAAATTTTAGATTTGAAACAAGTATCCCTTCAGTTAATGCTACTTAAGTCTTATTACTACCAAGACCGGCAAAGACATGGAATACAATACTTAAAGTCAACTTCTTTTCCTTAAATGAAATAAATTTTACACCAAGATAGATTTTACCTCTGTAGTATTTTGAAAAAGATGAGGCTTCAATGTGGTATTTTTATACATGTGCTAACTTGTTCTGATATCTCAAGGCCTGCATTACTCTCCATTATACCTCCCTCATCATCTCATGCGTTCCTTCCATTTTCTTAAGGGAGTGACTGTAGATGCCACGTTGTCTATTACAAATGCGCAGCTCCTTCGTGCTGGACCCTTGCTTGTCCCTGTCCACTAGCTGAGCCTGGAAATCATGTTGGTCCACCAAAGTAGGAGTAGAAGAGCTGTATGCACACCCAAGCAGGGGATTTTAGGGGATTTTTCTCTTAAGATAGGCAGGAATTTGAGTAGAAACTGTTGTGGATAGTCTTTCAAAATTCTGATTTTTTTATTCTTTTGTGTAAACATGAAGAAGTTGGATAGGGGCCTCATGCAGTCCTTCCTTTTAAAGGTTTTTAAAAGGACCGTTATGCTTTTTTCCAGAGCAGCTGCACAATTTGACACTCTGAACAGCAGTACACAAGGGTTTCAGTTCCTACACATCCTGCAAATACTTGCATTTTGTTTTTTAAAATCATTATTCAAATGAATGAGGTGGTATGTCATTGTTATAATTTTAATTTACTTGATCATGATGAATAAATTTAATATTGTGGACATTAATTTAGATAGAAATATTATCCACAACCATTGTCATAATCTGCATTTCCTTGATGACAATGAATAAGGTCAAGTGTCTTGTAATGTGTCTTTTTGATATTTCTGTCTTTGAAGAAATACCTATTCAAGTCTAAGTTTTTAATCAGATTGCTAGCGTTTTTCTATATTAAAAACTCTCTGCAAGAGTTTGTTACATGCTTGAATATTTGTCAGATTGTGTGCTCATATGGTCCCTTGGTCAATTGGCTGCCTACTCACTGGATTGACTGCTTACTTTGCTGTGCTGACATTGTTAGATTTCATAGTCATTTTTGTTATTTTATGCCTTAATTTCCTCATATCTGAGAAAGCACAGCAAACACTAATGTCATTTACTGGTGCATTTTATTATTAACAAGCGTTTCCCCAGGTTATGGTTCTGAAGGTGCCAGCATTCACATCTGGTGGTGATCTTATTGTTGGAAGATTTCCAAGGTGGCACTGTGCCACCAGAGACAGGGAATGTGCCTGTTAATTGTTCTCTCCTTTTTCTCTCCCTTTTCTTGTGAGCCAAGAGGTATAATCACTGAGGCCCCACACTTATCATTTTCATTAAAAATCATAAACAGCTCCTGTCTCTGAACACTATGATCAGATGCTGTTTTCATTCTCTCAATATCTTGCAGCGGGGATAAAATTTCAACATAAGAGGCGGTGCCAGTCACTTAAGCTATATCCAATCAAAACAGCAGTCACAAAGCTATTCTGTCCTTCATTCTAGCAATTCTACAGGATTAGATCTAAGGTTTAAATCTTACATCCCTTTTGAATTCATTTTGTGTACGGTATACCATGTGTCTACTTTCATTCTTTTGGTTGAAAGTATCCACCCTACTAATAACCTTTAGTGAAGAAATTGTCCTTTCCCCATTAAACATGCTTGCCATGTTTGTCAGATGACCACTGACTCTGTATGTGCATTTTGTTTCTGAGGTTTCTCAACCACTGGCCTTTATAAATCTCTCTCTGCCAGGACCTCATTGTTCAGATTACTATAGCTTTAAGATATGCATCAAAATCAATAAGTGTGATGTCAAGTTTTGTGTTCCAGAAGATTATGTGGCTAATCAGAGTCATTTGATTATATACTTACATATAAAATACATATGTTATATATATATATATATATATATATATATATATGTGTGTGTGTGTGTGTGTGTGTGTGTCTTTATTCTATTTCATAGACTTATACTCTAATTCACTTTCTAAGCCTGAAATACATATTTAAAATATTAAAATATTATATTGTCTTTCATGATTAAGTAGCAAAACCTTTATTTTTAAATAATTTTATTGAGAAACAATAGCAATGAGACAGTTTCAAAACCAATTACTAGGACAGTTTCAATAATTAATACATTGCATATTTTTGTCTTCTTCGTGGTTATTCATAGTACAAGATGCAGACATAATATCCTGTCCAGAAACACTATTAGAACAAATCTTTCTTTTCATTCAGTTAAGAGAAAGTAGCTGTATATCTATCCTATTTTGAATATACAGATAACAAAATAGTTCTTCATTTGTATCCCCTTTTTTGTTTAGTTTTGTAAGATAAAGGTATTCCATTGTTATCTAAATATTATAGTTGCATGAATTCTGCAAAATATTCTAATATAGTCCAATAGTCCATAATAGTAGTGGGCTTTCCATAGGACTGGCAATGTCAGAAGTTCTTGACTTGAGCCTTTTACAGCTCAGCACATATGACTTTACTTTTTACACTTCATTTTATACTTTTCTGCTGGATGATTAAGATCAACATAAAGCAAGACCTAAATAACAAGAAATGTAGCTTTTGTAGTCTGATAAGTTCAATCAAATCCCCTCCGGACTTTTCCTGAAACTGTGTACCTCAGATTGTAGATCCTTTGTCAGTGTCAGCCATGTGGATGAGTCATGGCCATTGCTTGACCAATTTACTCTGTGTGAAAGCTTGAGAGAATGCAAAACCTATATTTTTAAAGAAATATTGAGACAATTTTCTCTGGTTCAGGAAATTCAACTCAGGGCTTTACCAGTCTAGGCGTGGGCTTTACCACATCCCCAAAACTTTCTCAAAAAGTATTTCAACATAAGATGGCCAGGCTAGCCACAAATTTAAAAAGATCCTGTTTAACTTCACAGGTAGCTGGGATTACAGATATGGGTCAGCACTTGAGGCATAAATGGCAATAATGTCACAAATAGTTATGTGAGAATTTATTCATGGGAGGCCGGAAAACTGTTAAAGTTACCCTTTCCCTACTCTACCAACTAAGTTTTAGTTACCACCCAAGCTGACGGGGCTTAGCACAGACTAAATTGACTTTAAAAACTAACTGGTAGTACTAAACACTATGATAAATCATTTAGTTTTATGCTCATTGAGACTTTTTTCCCTTCAGCCTCTCCCTTGGAGGAGTGCCACTGCCCTTTTTGTCCCTGTTGCCTCTCTCCAGGCTTTCATCTGTTGGGGATCTCAAATTCTTTGGCTTACCCAGTGTTGAGCAACTGAGAGAGGGAGAACACTGAAAGGTGGAGGACAAGCCCAGTGCTTCCTGTGCAGCACATGGAAAGAAAAACTACAGTCTTTTGCATTTTGAAACTGCAGTTTTGCAGCTGCAACAGACCTGAGAAGAAGCTGTGTTGGCTATAAACTCCTGGATCCCAGAGCCTGATCTTTATCTTTCCTGGTGAACTTGTCTAAGATGAACTTTTTTTCTCTCTGTTTTTTACTGATTCTGCTTTTGTTATGAGAACTTTCACCTCAAACTTATATCACTCTCTGAAGGAATGTATATTCTGCCTTTGCTAGTTGAATTTTTATTGTGAAATTTCATTTATCGCAAGAGGCATACCCTCTTGTGACATAATACAGCAAAAAGTGCAAAGGAATAGGAGACCAAGGCATAGATTAGGAAAGATGAGGTCTGTTTATAAAGGCTTCAACTTTAAAAATCAAATTATGGAGTACCATTCATCCTAGACATTACATCATACCTTGCTTTATTTGTTGATATTTTTTTCTAAGAGATATGTCCTATTCTCTGTTTTTATACTACCACCTGCTCACACATGGTGGGACCTGACTTGTGAAACTGTTTGTCTGTCATCAATAGGCTGAAAAATCACATATTTGGGAAAATTATCAGAGTCTGGGCCTCTCTTAGGAGTGTAGCATTTATTTCCACTTCATACACAGGCATACTGTTATCATTGATGGTTTTATTTTGAATTTATCTCATTCCGTGCAGGTTGACTTTCTCTTATTTGAAATGCCTTCACTGAACTTTTTTTTAACAATCCTCACCCTTGGGATGATGAGGACTTTTGCTGAAGGAACAGAATAAAGTGGTGATGACAGATGAAATGGGAGACAAAAAGTAAAAAAATAAAAATAACACTAGGTGCACAAAGGACCTGAGTTCCAGCATTCGATCCTTACTCAGAATAGGTTGCTCTTGGGCTAAGGCTGCAAGTCTCCTTCCAAAAAGATACAGGAAACCCAGGTAGGGAGTGGCAGCTGGTGTTGTGGTCCTGGAGTCACTTGCTCCTGCAGGGACAGGTGGCCTGTGGTCAGGCTGTGCACACATTGCTCTGGGAGGTGAGGATGTCGCCCCTCTGACTGGGGAAACTGGCAAGCTGTCTTCCTCCAGGAGGCCAAAAGGAAACAGCAGCGCTAATGAGAGGAGAATCTGGCTTTCGAAAGCACCAGGAAGAGGCAGGTGGAAGCTCTAGTCTTGTGCGATATCCTGCTTCCTCCCTGATGAGCATTTATAGTCAGCCTTCTCTACCACCTCAGGTACAAAGCCGGCCAGCTCAGATTTTGAGAGATTTTTGATTTTCAAGGAATGAAAAGAAAGAGTTGTCATTCCAAAAGAATCAAGTCCCCTTTTAAGTGGGACTGAAGCTGTTAGGAGCTGGCCCGTTCCAGCAGTGAACACTGTGTCAGGTTACAAGGTCCAAAGTTCTTGGATTGAAAAGGTACAGCACTTGACAAATTTGGGAGAGGGGAACTCTTTGGGATGCTCTGAGGCCCTTAGGATTCCTCTCTCGTGCACTCTTGGGGGTTTGTGATTAATTTATGATCCAATGCTGGAATAATGAGTGTGAGTGCTACACATGTCCTGAGTCAGATAATCTGCATACAAATGTGAGGGGGAAAAAAGTGTGAGGAAGGGAGAGAAGCTTGCTAAGGGCCTCAGTCACTGCTCCTCCGGTTGAACTTTGCTGCTTTCCACTGCAAAATCACAAGGCAGGTAGAAAGTGGGACAAAACTATAGGCAACCAATAAGACTACGAGTGTAGTTGCTTAGGTACTATTGATCAAATAGGGAAGGACATCACATAGCAAGTGTATCTAGAATGAAAAAAGACTTTTTTTGGAAGGGATGGGCAAGGGAAGATTTGCTTGCCTCCCAAGATAATCCATTCCTATTTAGAGTATCAATCACTGCTCTTCACCCCTCAATCCAGTATGTGAGTGCTGTTATTTCCTCTTTCTGAGGCCTGAACCTCAATGAGTGTGCCTCCAGCCAAAGTTCTAATATACATTTTTTTTTTGCCTTCCATACTTTCTCCTTTGAGGTCCCAACCATGTCTGACTGCCTTTAATATTTCCAACTAACTTAGCTATCTTTAATACTTCTACATATGCTTTAGATTCCTTTGGCAAGCCTAAAGAGTCCATTTCCTAGAAGGATGCAAAGAGCAATATGACAAATTACATGGTAATAAACTGTGAAACCATTAGTGAAATGTTGAGGTACAAAAAGGAAGTTTGCACTGATTAGTTTTTGTTCAATTTATGAGTATATTGCATAATAATAAAATTTACATTCCTTGTATCACATATACTTTTATTTATTTAAAATTTTCTGTTTTTATATATTTAGTACAGGGTCTACAGTGTCTTGCTACACAGATCTGACTTGTAGTAATCCTATTTTTTAGCTTCATAAGCACTGAGATTACAGGCCTGTGCCACCACACCCAGTCTCAATTTCTGACTCAACGTGCCCCAGGGGCAAGGCCAGCACAGCAGACTGGAGATCCAACCCCCAGCCCCTGCATCTGCCTAAGCAGTTGCTTTAATCCTCTGAGCTATCTGGCTGGCCCTATTTAAAATTTTCATAATGTACATTTTATAAATTCTAAACAT